GCTTATGCTTTTCTTTCATCATCAGCTAATTGATTCAATATCTAGTCGAAATCGATAGAGTCTTTATTAGAATTATTTTAGTTTTAATGCTTTTTACTAATAGTCTAAATTACTTTTGATTTTTCATTAGTAAATTTATCTATATTTTCTGGATTATTTTCTAAATTTATTTAAGAATCTAACCCATTATTATCAAATGATTAGGATTGTATATAGCCCTACTTCAAATAATCTTCAGAAGTTAGATTATGAGTGCTTTGATAATATCTGTGAGAAAAATCTTAATATAGTAAAGTCAAGTTCTCTTATGACTATTTATCTTTGTTCATTAGAGCAATCATTTGCAATGTTTTCTAGCTCTATTTATTAGTTCTAGCATTAACTATTAATCTTTAAAGACACAGTTTAATACTATCTTTTTAATCTTTGTCAATTTCTTTCCAGCATTTTAATTTTTAATTCTATTTCAGTTTCGTTTTCATAATATTGTCAGTTTTAATTTGATCTGCTTAAATAATATTGTTTTAGAGGTATGGTATCAGTCTCTATTAGTAGTATTTCATACAAATCTCACTCATCGTTTAACTTATTCTAACCTTCGTAAATAAATTTTCAATATTAAAGTTTTCCTCTATCCTTTTTACTGCTTGCTAATATATTCTGTATTTAATGGTATTCTATTTATCTTTGCAACATAACTTACTCAGAAGGCAGTTTAATCTATCTTTGAAATTAAATGTAATGGGACTTCTTGACTTGATCTTTTTCAGATAACTTTTATATTGATTTTATTCGTTTAAAGTTAAAATTCATTAGTCTTACCTTAATTTTCCACTATGAATTTTATTATAATTTCTACCAATATCATCCTTAGATGTTTCATCTTAGTTTTAAATAATTGCTTCGGATGGGCCATTTTCCGTGATTAAAAACTTTTTCATAAGTGAGGCATAGAATGATTCTGCTCTAAATAAATAGATAACTGCAACACATATCAATCTTATAATCTCAATGTATCCTCCTGTCGCTGAAAGAGCATTAGTAATTGTCAATACTTCTCTCTCGGTGATCATATATTTTTCATCAGCAAAGTACATAACATTGATATGAGCAAACATCTCATCTGGTGTTTTTGCAAAAGTAGATTCTAGCCGAATTCCTACATAAGAGTAAATTTGTGGGTCCATATTAAAAAAAGAGGAATCTTTGGTTTTTGCAAGATTAATGCTAATCTTATTATGACTTTTAATAGGATTTTTTACCTGCTCTT